GACTTTACATTATTATAGAGCTCACCCCTATGAATATCACAAAACTAACACCAACCCCTATCACTTCAAGGCCACAAAAGATAATGCTCATTATTCAGAGCACCCCAGTCTTGTGATTCTATTTAAGATGGATCTTGCCACCATGACCAAATACACGGGTTGACATGAGGAATAAAACTCATGTATGAATTATTCACCATTCCCCAAAAAACTCTATGCTTTTATTAACAGTGTCGTTGTAAATTATCTCTTGTCCCATTTCCATCTGTCCAGATTCTATTTACCTCTCCTTGCCCAGTACAAAAATTTAGGTGACTGGCAAAATTTACTAGGGTATAATTATAATAAGAGTGCTGGGTCAATTGTAGTCATCAGTTAAAATTCTACCTATTACACGAAGCCTTCCATGATCCGCTCACTTCTACATACACACTTAGGAATAAAATCTGCTCTGTCTCTGCTCTCCTTCCTTGTGTTTGCATCCTGCAAGGTTTCAGAACAATTGGACCAATATGATGGGCATGAGCATTGAGATTTCTTTTTCCATACTCTGCTGTCACAGCTAGATAAGAGCAAACAAATGCCATCTATATCTATAGTGAGCATTAGTACATTGACAATAATGGTGCCCAACTGATTCCACATCATCATACAGAATAGGCATCAGAGCAGTCTCTTCAGATTCTAGGTCACTGCCGCATAGGTGAGAAGAACACACGCTTACTGTGATTATAGTCACTGTGTAGAGAGGTAAATTGCTCAGGTGGTCTGGATCACAACACTAGTTATCTTCAGTCTGTGGTTATGGTCAAGTCACACTTTACCCACATGTTCTTAAAAGAGATACCTGAACACAAATGCACAAATGGCACAGTTTCAGACTAGGGCAATCCCATAACCTCACTATCTGCTTGGCTTGCCTGGAATGAGCATGTGACCCATGTTGGCCATGCAGTCAGCTTGAGGATCCCAAATCCCTGAAATCAGGTGAGTGTTCTTCTCATTCTAGCACTTGTGCATCCTGCTTCCCTACCTATCCTGGGATTTCCAGATACTGAATTGGGTTTGCCTGGAGGGAAGGGCTTCTTCTGCTGGAACACAGGGTAATGGTAGTAAGTAGTTCTGCAATGCCTGTGGCCTAAGCAACTGGAGGGTCTCTTGAAAATCTTTTCATGAATTGTACGTTGGTGTGATGTTGGACTATCGACTGAGGGCTGTTGTAAGATTCAGCCTATTCGTTCTGTGATGTCATTAATTACAAAACTGTTGCGGAGATTGTTGTCTTGCATAGGCAGCCACCTGGTGAATATTCTCTAATTTATTAAAATCATGTTGTCCTGCTTCAGCTGGGTGCTTGGGTGTGACACTCATCTTCAGGATGGCAGCAAGATAGGTTGGAATTTTTAGATATCCTCTCCTATGAGAACCCTTGAGCCACAAATACAATGCTTGGATAGCATGTGTCACATTGGGAGGCTGTCTTTCCTGCACTAGTATCCTTCCTTCACATGTTGTGTGCTCTATGAATGTGGGTGTGTTTACTTTGACTCCCAAGCATCTGGCATGCAAGCCAGAGAGTAGAAGATGCTCAGTATGTATTTAAACAATAAATAGTAGAATAAGTGGGAGATATTGCTATGAAAAGCCCAGTCATAATATATTCAGGAATAGAAGTGGATAGGTTAATTGGAAATGTCTGTTAATCAGTATTTATAAAAAATGATACATTTGTAACATGAATATTTCATTTTTACCTATAATTTGTTCAGTATAATAGAAATAGACTAAAGAACATTCCTTTGTGTAGGTTTCAGCAAATAGAATTCTACTCTGTCTTGCTGAAAGCATATCTATCAATCATTCTCTGTGATTTGCAGTTGGGATTAGTTTAAGTGTAGATTTTAGCATCAGATGCATAGCATTCTGTCTAAAAATGTTGTTCAATATTTTTCATTTTTGTTTAATCTTATAGAGTTGGAAGACTCACAGCTACTAAACAATAATTTTGGAACCTGCTTTTATTGTCCATTTAAGCATTCACATTAGTTTTATGGAAACCACAATTCTTCTTTCATACTCTTGTTTCATTAACTTGTGCTGTATTTTGGTAAATTAGGAAATTATATTGACAAACCTAATTGGCAAAAGCAGGACAAGAAACAGATCCAACTGATTCTTGTGAAGCTGATGACTCAGTGTCCTTGAGCCCAGGTGTACTAGAGCATCAGTGAATTGCCCTGAAGACTCAGCATTTGCTCGGAATCAATCAATACATTTTTTTCATGAAGGTGAAAGGATTGGTTGTAGACATAGAATGTATTAGTGAGAGGCTTATTTGAAAGGTGTTTGCTTTCATGTAGAATTAGCACAGTGCCTGATGAATTACGATTCAATGTTTGTTGAATTCATGCCTAAAATATAGTCATGAATGGCAGCTCCCAAAAGGTGCCATGGAAGATTTTCATATCATTTCTTACTTTCTGGAGAACACTCCTGGATGTCCTGCATGCTCTTCCTTGATATGTACCTGAGAGGGAATGATATTGACTTTGGAAAGAAGGCAGCTCATGAGCAGACTCCCAGATCCCCTCCATTCTTCTTCCCAGAGGCAGTGAGCAGACCTGCAATAAAAGGGAACAGCTGTTCTCAGAACGACCAACTGCAGAGGACACTCTGTTAAGTGGAAGGTGCCTATAGGAGTTCCAGTGAGACTTGGTGACTGAGCCAGCCTCTGCAAGATGCTGGACAACCCTGTGATTTTCAGGTGTGAGCTGCTTGAGAAAAATATTTACCAAGCATCTTCTAAATTCCACACCTAATCTGTTGCACTAGAAATTCAAAGACACGCTCTCTGCTCTTAAAGAACTGAGGGTGCAGTAGAAGAGAAAGAGGTGAGGACAAATAATTCAATACACTGTTATAAGTGCTGTAGTAGAGCAATGTGTGAGGTCAGGTGACTTCAGAATAGGCTTCAGCGATAAAATTTAAGCCTTCCCGAAGGTGAAGTTTTCTTCCGTCGAAAGAAAAGAAATGTCACTGACAGCAAGATAAGCAGTTTCCCAGGTGAGGACGAACACTGTTTGATTCAACTGCCAGGTGAAAATTCTCTACAGAATTCCTCATGATAGACAACATCTTTAGCCAACACTGTACAATTGATATCACAGACTCCCTGATTGGACTTTCCCAATAACCCTCGGTCTGAACTAAAGACATCAAATCAAAGCTCTTGGCATGGAGCATTGGCTGCAAACACTGGCTTCCTGCTTCCTCCGACCTGTAGAAAACCCTTGCCTACAGTCATGTCCTATTACAGCATTTGGAAATTGAGGGTGGAGAGAAAGGATTCAGCATCAGCATAGTGCTGGGCCTGGAAGAGCAATGGATCTGGACTCAGGGGACCTGAATTCAACATTGTGAACAGTGTGATAAGATCCACCAATAAATTTTGTTGGACCAATTGAAAACTATATACCTCTTTATTGCTTTCCTAGCTACTTTTTACAGTCTCCTGCATACTCAAATTGCACTTGTCAGCTCCCCTCAGTGAGGGTTAATTGCTGTGATGTCACATTTTCTCTTGATAATCTCTTCTGTCTGCTTATCTGTGGAAGGGATAACCACTGGTGGAGAACAGTCCTGAATTTTGTACTGATCCCATTTCTATAATTAACTGTTTTTAATTGTGGTAAAATTTACATAACATACATTTTATAACTTTAACCATTTTAAGTGTACAATGAGTGTCAGTAAGTACATTCACAATAAGTTGTAACTGTTACCACTGTCCCTTTTAAGAACTTTTCATTATTCCACACAGAAATCCTGTGTTCATTTAATAATGGCTACATATTCTCTCCGTCATCCAGCACCAGGATCCTCCTAATTTAATTTCTGGGTTCACGAATTTCCTAGTTTGGATACCTGGTAGAATTTGAACTTACAATATTGTTCTTTGGTATCTGGCATATTTTCCTTAGCACAATGTTTCCAGGTTCATCTATGTCAAGCATGTATCAGAATTCTGTACCAACTGTAAGTTATTATCAAGATACCACAATTGACATTAGCATGGAAAGGTCAGATGTTATCAGTCTTGCCGCTCATGTTAATGGCCATTTAACTAACTGAAAGTTACGGCCAGAACAATTTGTACAAAACCTGGAAGTATGAAGAATTCTTCTACAACTGAAAGAGTCTGTAAGCAAATAATAAATGGTTTTCAAGACAATTTCCACTTTGAAACCAATATTGAGGTTTCCTATGGCCAAAATGGAGCTGGGGCATTTTTATGGGCTCCTCACTGGTCCATTAGTCCAGGAAGAGCTAAATAAGCACTTACCAGTTCTCAGGGGGAAGTGGCCATGGTTGTGTTTACTAGAAACCAAGGCCAACGTGTCACCATGCTGTGGACAAATGACAGGAGAGGACTTTTCGTAAAACCAATTGGTGAGAGTGTTTTTATGAAGAGAGAATATCTCTAAGGACATTATTTTGCTCTGTATCTAAGAATTCAATGGAATATAGCATAGCAGAACTCACTTATTCAGAATCAAGCTTTCAACTGCAGTAATGCCTCCAGTCATAGAAGGGAACATGGTTTTCAGGGGAACACAGTCTGAGAGATTAAGAAGGAATCTTCCTTTTTGATACAATCAGGTAGGAAACAAGCATAAAGAGTGTTTTAGGGTTTTGGAAAGGGACTCCTTTTATTACAATGAAAAGTGCAGAAAAAGTGTTCAGAAGGAAAGACTCAGTGTAAGATAACAGGGAAAATGTGTTGGTAATATCAAGGAGAATCTAAACATTGTACTGTCAGACTAATGCTTTCCATGGGTGAAAACTGCAACTGTCAGGTTAGATAAGCATCTATTCGAAGACCGTGAGGAACCACTGAGACATATCTGAGGCAGAAGGCTAAGAAAAACGCATATAATTGTCAAGGGTGGCAGGACAGTGTTGGTCTCAAAGTCCCGTCTGACTGACAGGGCAGAGGGTCTTCCTCACTGCTCCGATCTGCTTCCGGACAGCTCCAGTGTTTCCTCGGGCAGCCGCCCTCCACCTTCATCCACCTCAGGTGTGTCCTGCAGAGCCCTCTGGAGAACCAGCCTCAGGTTCTGCCTATTTTGACGCTGCCTAAAGGAGCCTACGAAGAAGTAAATGATGGGATTGGCACTGCTGTTAAGAGTGGCCAGGAACATAGAAACTAGATGAACATGACAATATAAGACTTTCCGATCCACGTGGATCCATAAAAATAGGAAAAACTGAACGCCGAAGGGCAGGCCGCAGAGGAGGAAGACCAGCACTGTGAGCAGGATGGTCACGTACAGCCTGGTCAGCGGCATCTTCCGGGATCCACAGAGAATCCTGACCAGCAGGACCAGGCTGGACCCACAGAGAACCACACATAAAAAAATCAGCCACGCGACTGTGATGAAATCCGATGTTTGACACAAAACAGGATCCACACCACTAAACAGGAGGCCACAGAACATCCACTCCAGGATGCTCCGCAGCAGGGACAGGACCCAGAGCAGGACACACAGGACCACTGACAGGTGTGTGGGGCGGCGGCAGCGGTACCACATGGGCCACAGGACGGACAGGCAGCGCTCGGTGCTCATGGCGCTCAGAAAGCTCAGGCCTGCAAAGTAGGAAAACATCATCACAGGATAGAGGATTTTAGAGATGGTTTGGGGCACACTGATGAAGCTTAACAGGGAATATATAAAGCGGCCACTGAGGAAGAGGAAGTCGGCCATGGACAGGTTGAGGATGTAGATGGAGAAGGCGTTCTTGTGCATGCGGAAGCCCAGGAGCCAGAGCACAACCGCGTTTCCTGTCAGTCCGACAAGGGAAATGATGCACGTCAGCCCCATGAAGCTCAAGGTCTGCTTGTAGCAAGGAGTCGCCTGAGTTCGGTTGATTGGTGTCAGTTTTGTGTCCAAGGCTGGGATAGTTGGATCCATGCTCAGAAACCCTAGTTTGGTGACCCTGGAAACAGAAACCAGATGTGATCATCAGCTGTATGATCTCTGATTCTCCCCACCACCCTGCCATGTGGGATTTCTTCCTTACTTAAAGAGGAGAGATCAGAGACTTGCAGAGAGTAAGTCACCTATCAAAAGGTGGGGGTCCTCAAATCCAGTTTGAAATACAGTTCTTGTTGACTCTGAAGCCTGACCCCTCTCTACTGCCACACAAGTTCTGTGCTGATGTGGGAATAACATTAGGATCAAAACACCCCCACTCAAGTGGCCAGGGCTGTGGACCCGATAATTACTCTATCCTGGGCCTGACATTTTCTCTCAGGTGGAGGAATTCAGATATGCAAAGAGGTGGTTGTGACACCCTCTTGACTAGGACTGATCATCTATGGACAGGAAAGAAGACCATGCATTATGAATCAGAGGAAAATGTGGCCTTTGCTAGAATAAGTGTGAGAATGGCTGGGCCTGGTGGGTGAGAAATAACTCAGTGTGTCAGTCATTGCAGACAGTACCACATTTTACGTTTTATAGTCCTAGTGCCTATTTCCCTGAGCAGCACACTGTGCTCTTCATAAATATTCATTCAATGAATGAATGCATGCATGAAGAGCCTAATGGTAATGGTAGATTTGGGTGAAATGGAAAATAAAAACGAAAGCACAATGTAAGTTATTAGAACACACATATTTAATTAGATATAGAAAATTTCATTCATCAGAATTCTATTTGTGGACAGTTCTATCTGTGTTAAAAAGAATTACTGATGTGTGCCCCAAACCTGAAATTGACCACTGATGTGCCTTTGAAATGAGGACCCAATGTGGCTTTACTGAACACCTAGAAGCATTTTTGCACACAATGTTTGGGCAGGGTGTGGGTCTGAGCTGAATTGCTCAGCAATGGAGCAGAGGGAAGACTAAGTGAGGGTGAAGTCTGAGTGCCACTGAAGCAGGTAATTGAAGTGTGGGAATATGTATGGGAGACTACTAAGTGTTCTGCTGAGTATACACAATGTAAACCTATTTAATTCTCTCCTTCAGAAGATCTTTGGTTCATTTCTTTGTTGATGCAAACATTTGTATGTGAGGAGTCCATGAGGAGAAATAGGAGATATATAGGGCTTGGAGTATAAAGAGAGATATTCATGCAGATTTCAACTGGAGAATGAGGACTAGGTCTAATCTGGGAGAATAAGAGCAGCTGACAGAGAGTTTATTAGGTATTGTCTGTTTTAATTATCTGAAGAGCCTAGGAGGTAAGAATGAGCATTATTCCCATATGGAAGATCATGCATTGGAGCACAAAAAGAGTGAATTATTTGTTCTGGGACTTATATAGTATGAATTTGAGACCAAGAGGGCTTACTCATGATCCAGTCTTTGAGCAGCCCTTTACACCCAGCACGGCTCTGTGTCAATTATACATGTTAGAAGGGGTAAAGGAGAGGAGGGATTCTCAAGATTAAATCCAAGTTGGCAGGTAAAATTGTGGATTGAAAAGAAAAAAAAAAAACTAACCTAAAATAACTTCAGATAGAGAAAGAGAAGCAAGTCAAATAGGGAACAAAATAGAGAAGAGTGAAAGTCATTTAGTAACAAATTCAGGAGCTCCTTTTTGCCTATCAGAGGCCACCTTTGCTCTGGAATCCCGAGAATGCACAGGGGCAGGAGGCCTCCAGGAGAAAAGAAGACTCACCCTCCTCTGGGAATACAGAGGAGCATCAGGAGTGAGTGCATCCATCATGAGCTCTCTTAGAAAGACTAGCTGCCACAGCCTTGCTTGACTTGAAAAGGAAATGGGAGGAAAAGGAGAACCTCTGCTATCCACACTCTGTTATCCACACTCAGGGCACTAAACACTTTGTCCATCTGTATTTATGGTATGATATGTTTGTCTTCCTTATGAAACTCAAAACTCCATAAGGAGTAAGTCATGCCTATCTTTTTCACTGTGGTATTACCAACATTTAGCATGTGTTCCTTAAAGATCATCCATGGTATTATCTTAATATAACATAAGATGAAGCCGAGGCCTAGAGAATTAAAGTGTTTTTGTGAGTTCACAACACGAAGAGCAGGTCCAATACCAGCCCCTGGTCCCTGGAGCCCTGCATGAGACTTCTGTATTGTTCTCTGCCCCATCATTCATTATTTCAGAGGAGTTCCTGAAAAATCTTGATGTGAGCACAGAACCAGAGACTGTCAGAGGCAGAAGAGACTGCTAGGTTGCCCCAGTGCTCATTTTCCTGTTTGGTCACATAAAAATTCTGGGAGTTTAAAAGCAGCACAAGGACCCACATTCCAGTTTTCCTTGATGTCGGGTGCCATTGTATGACCAAGTTCTGTTCAACAAAAGATGCACAAAAGTGATATAAGCAAGTCCTGGCTCACAGGACCAATAGCAGGAGTAACACGTTTCCTTTCCTTATTTTTTTTTCCATCATGCTGGAATGCTGATGTGGCTGGAACCATGTAGGATCACAAGGATGAGGGCAACTCTCTAGGGACTGGGGAGTAGCAGTTTTTGGAATTCTGATGTACGATGCCTTGGAGCTTCCAACACTGATCTCAAAGATAGTCTTTTCTGGGTATTCACAGGGGCTTTCCTATATGGCAGATGTGTGTGCTGCAATCCCAGCACACAACAAAATCTGCAGATGCTCAGTTTCCTTATATAAAATCATGTGGTAGTTGTACAAAACCTATACACTTTCTCCCAGATACATTAAATCATTTCTAAGTTACTTAGAATAACTGACAAAATGCAAATGTCATGTAAATTCTTGTTTTACTGTGTTATTTTGGAAGTAATGACAAGGAAAAACAATTTTGTACCTGTTCAGTAAATACACACCTCCACCATACCCTTATTTTTGGAATAGTTTCCACCTGTGGTTTGTTGAATCTGCAGATTCTGGACCTAGTGACCCAGAGACACAACTGTACTTTCTTATTTAAGACATTTCTACTTTGTGTCTTTATGTGAGGGGTCAAACTTATATTCTAAAAAAAGAAATATGTTCTCTTTTTAAAGTTGTATTTTCTTTTCTATGCATTTTTGATGAATGCAAACATTTCTGCATAGAAGTGATAGTAGAGAAAGACATGCCAAACATTAAAATAGTCTGATAGAGTTGAAATGAGACAGGAATCAATCACCTGTAGACAGAGAAAACCCCAGGAATTAGGAGGACATAAGATGGTGAGAGGATCGTCTCATTTGCTCTGAGGATTTGCTTTCCATTCTTCTCTATCCTGTTTTGACATCCCAAGAGAGTGGCTTCTATGTACCACATCAGTGGGATTCTTTTTAGTCCCAGTATCTGGTGGAATTGTGACACTGGGACACACCAGCAGGACACTGGAGGACAGCAGGAGAGCCACTTGAGATTTCCACCTCCTGGTTCTCTGCCTGTGTATTAGTTCATTCTCGAATTGCTACAAAGAAATACCTGAGACTGGGAAATTTATGAAGCAAACAGGTTTAATTGCCTCATGGCTCTGCAGGCTATACAAGAAGCATAGCAGCTTCTGCTTCTGGGGAGGCCTCAGGAAGTTTCCAATCATAGTGAAAGGCAAAAAGGGAGCAAGTCATCTCACATGGTGAGAGCAGGAACAAGAGAGACAGGGAAGAGGCGTTACACACTTTTAAATAACTAGATTTCATGAGAACTCACTCACTATCACTATAGCAGTACCAAAGGGGGATGGCATTAAGCCATTCATGAGAAACCATCCCCACGATCTAATCACCTCTCACCAGGCCCTCCCTCCAACACTGGGAATTACAATCAACATGAGATTTGGGTGCGGGGGACACAGATCCAAAGCATATCAGCCTGTGTGGCTGTGTGTTGGCCATGCAGGGCTTCTCCACCTGCCTGCTGGTGTTCTCCTACCCCTATGGCTACAGCTATGGCTATGGCGACAATGGTAACTTCTCCTTCCCTGTCCCTTTCAGCCTAGGGGAGGACTTAGTGTTCAGTCATTTCAGTTCTGACCATCTATTTCTTCCTTGAACCTTTCCAGACAGGCAAGGATTAACAATTTAGAAAAGTAAGTAAAACAACAAAACCTGCTTCTACGGCAGTTCAACTCTATGAAGCAATGCCTGCATGTCCTCTAGCTCCTTAAATGAATGTGAGAGGCAGTATTCTCTCCATGAGGACAGATTCAGTGATTGGAATAAGGGAGGTGATATGGAGAGATAAATCAAAGGGGGGACCCCAGTTGAAACTCACACAGTCTGGGTTGGCGGCACATAGTTTCCAGAAGGAAACTTCATGTCCCCTGTCTTTTCCTGAAACAAGCTCATGATCCCCTGCCTGTAGCACCTAGGTGGAAACAGAAACGATCTTATAGCAAAAACCATAACTGACTATGGAAGAAGAGTGTTCCTGGTACTTACCCTTATCTTTTTCTCTTTTGTTCAGTGGTGAAGACTTCCCTTGTTCTAAAGGTGGAGGGCCTTTCTGGGATTCAGTGACTTCAGAGGAGTCTTCTGTGTTGCTTAAATTCAGGAGATGCCCATAGGAGCTGGAGTCAAAGCTGGTGAGCAATCCAGGCTTATGAAGATGCTGGACAGACTTGTTATTTCCTGTATGAGGACTATGGACAAATCAGCGGCCAGAGGTATTGGAGACACAAACCCTACCTGAGATGATTCTTGGCCTCTGTCCCATATCCAGTACAGATAAGCCTCTCCCATCACATTCCATCTTGTTCAACTTCCTTGATAAAAACAGTGGAAAGGTTTGAGAGAATGGACTCCCATTTCAAAAGAAGTTCTACTGTGTGTGAAATGCTATCAAATAGCATTGCATGCTACATTAAAATCTTTCATAAAAGGATGAGTCAGTTGATGTGGCAGACTTCACTGTTGTCTTGTGCTAAGATATTGGCACATCCTGTCTTATCTTCAGCAGCCACCTCAGCAGCCATCAACATCAGGCAAGAGCCTCCAGCAGCAAAGCGTTTGGCTGATAAAGGTTCTGATGATGATTATGATTTCCCAGTGAAAAAGTATTTTTTAAGTAAGGCATGCACATTGCTTTAGACATAATGCCATTGCAACTCAATAGACTACAGTATAGTGTAAGCATAACTTTTACATGTACAAGGACACCAAAAATTCATGTGATTTACTTTATTGTAATATTTGCTTTATTGCAGTAGTGGAAGCAGACTTCC